TCTCTCGTTACGGATTAATTCCCTCTTCGCTTATGTACTCCAATACGTTGAACTCTGTAAATGTAAAGTAGTCTGCTGCGTACGATTTGCATACATCAACGTATACGAGTGTGTAAACCCAGACCTAGAAAAGGGTCAGCGTGCTATATACGAATAACAAGTTTATTAATGGTAACAGACTTACTAAATTTAAACTAAATGCAAAAGCTTATGAAAGTTATGCTGGAAATGCTAATGCGGAAGTTAAACTAGACGTTTATTGTCAGTACGGGAAATTGGATATTGATTTTATATTACTATTTCATTTTATGGACCACTAACTCGTGTACACGTTTGAAATTCAGGACTCATACAATACAGCGATGCAAACTTTGCATTGCAAACGTATACAGAAGTGGCTTTTTTGTTATTCAAAACAGCTCCAGGAACAGATTATAGTAGTTACGATACAATTAGTTCTTGTAAATCTTTTCTTTACGGTTGTTTTTTTTTAGTTCTTTCGAAGATACGTCCTACATCAACATGCTATATATATATATATATATATATATATATATTAATCCATACAGTAGAGTTCTAACGAAAACATTGCAGTGCTTATTATAAATGCTTATTAGATGAGTTTTCACTAAAACAAATTGTATGCAGTCACTTTTAATTTAACGTACTCAGAGAAACTAATCAGGTGATAATATATTTAACTTTGCAATTCAATAACATGTCCAAGATGTTACGAGAAGTTGTACAATATACATGTTTCAGGCTAGGCTGATAAGAAAATGTTGTTACATCAAGTGCATAATTCTTTTCGTAATTACGAAATCTATCGGCATGCTCCTGCCACGGATGAAATCTCACGACCGATAAGAATTATGTGCGTTCCCTTTTGTCATAGAGAGAAGCGATAAATCGAATGGTCAAGTTCAGTGAATAGTCGCTGGTAGACGGAAGCCGTTAACCGCGCTACCTTGGCACTGATATCGGCCGCGAGAGTCGGCAAGTTGCCCGATCATATGTAATCTCAGTATCGTGGACCCAGTCGGGTCGATCGATCGACCCGTCGGCGTCGGCGTCGCGACGGAACTGCACCTGGATGACCGGGTAATCGATAATACACACGCTCGAGACATATTCCTGGCACATTCCGGAGCGTTTTCCATTCAACAGGCGACACGAGACCCTCGACTGTGTCCCACGGTCCTCTGTTGCTTCGTTAATTAGAAAGAGGAAAAGGAATCCATTACAGTTCTCATGACAATGAAACCGATAAGGCGAGCTATCGATGCAATCATTGGTTCTCGTATCGATCGGACATCCTGAATGCTCGTTAACCGGTAATGTCGTTTACCTGGATGTCATTCCACGCCAGATTAACTACATTTCCCCCTGTTCGTGTCATGGATTTTGTTGAAATTCAAACGTGTTCTGCACGCACAATTCAGGTGGATTTGTGTCATCATTTGAAACTCTTCAACATTTCCTCGGTTATTAAACATGACGATTTAACGACGATTAAATTCTCTCCCCTCTTAATTTTACTACGATATATTCGAGTGTCAAGAAAATCCTTGACATCGATCGGTTGTGGAGTGACCCCGAGTAGATTCGGTGAATCTTGACCGCAGTCACGTGATCCGCAAGACACGCGCTCTGCGATTCCTGGCGCGTAAACACGTATCTTGTTGTCCTTGCCGATAACGATAAAAACCGAGCTTTAATCGAAATCGTAGGTCACAGAATTTTTGATACGCGAAACGGGAAAATGTGACGGGACGCACGTAACCCGAGATACTTCATTGCGCGTGTGGGCAACGATCTCACGGAATATTTTTACGATTTCGTCGACAACTGGTCCGGTCGGTGTCTAATCCCCTCCCTTATTCAGCCTGCGGCGAAGCTGCGAGTATTCTGCAGATAATGAGAGTCCTTCCTGGGGAACGTGATATATCTGTGCGTATCCTTGCTTGCTAGATGTATTTTAGAAAGTAGCTGGTATCTGCGAGACAATCGTGTCCAGTAACCTATATCGTTTAGTATAATAAAGTTTCGCGGTGAAGTTTCGTCTATCAAGAGCAAATTTTTTATTCGCACAACGACGAGTATGAATTGCATTATAAATGAAAATATATTTAGTCAAACACGATTGATAATCGATTTCGATAAAGAGGTATCGAGTTTTTTTTTTTTTCAGACGTCAAGTGATGACGGCGAATGTAACGAGTTTCCCGCGAATGCATTATCATTGACTGTCTTGAAACGTTTTTTAGACGTGTAGATTTCTTTTGCAACGCATCGAGTTTCTTGCTCGAAGGCTAACGGACATTGTTAATTATTCGTTAACTACCTTAATCAAGCAAAGAAAATATGGAACAATTACAGGTGATCAATTATACCGTTGTTAAATAATAGTCCTGCATTAGTTACGGAATCATCGGGTCTAATAACACAGACAGGATGCGTAAACGTGTCGATACTGGAGTAGATAACGTCATTTGATTCAATGCTACTTTATCTCGATGTGTTTTACACCGATACCTGACAGTTTGGTTATCGATGCGATAATTGATAATACTGCTACGTAATATACAGATGCTCACAATTTCACGACGGGATAAGATACTTTAAGGAAAGATGGTCGAAGGTTATATCGAGTTGTACACAGATGAAAAAATTGATGGATTAAGTTGGGTTGACAAACTCTCTGAAAATTTCGAGGTAGAATACGGAGGAAGGAACGTCGACGTGTCCTGTTCGCAACGACGGCGTCCCGGCGCCACACGAGCCTGCGCCGGGACGACGTCCACGCGATCCACCCGGTAGTCGATAGACGACCTCGTCCGAGCTTCGACGAACTCGAAACCCCACCGGTTTTCACCGTGTTCAAGTAATAGCTTACCGGGCTCGGTCTTCGAGATCTTCGATGTTGCTGGAACGATAGGAAAACGGATTACAGGTGTTGCTGCGCGGAAATCCTTTACTTGGCGGATTCACGAGGTCTGTGCTAGTCGATGCCCGTGGTCGAAGAACGGTAGGAGGAGTTATCGTTCCTCGGTGGCGATTTTCCGGTGGTTACCGTCGACGACGTCATCGTGCTAGGATATAGACCGTGTAGATGCCGATTCGATTCAACGATAGACGTTTCTCCAGCGTGAAACGCGAGTCACGTTTTCGTTCGTTCGTTCGTTCGACAGGACGATGGAGGACACGAGTGTCCGTGCTCGGGAATTCGCGAGTCGAGTCAGAACGCTGTTTTTACCGCTTGTATCGATTTCGTCGGGATGTCCTGTTTTGACGGGACGCAGGAGGGGTTAGCTGATTTCGCGTCGGGAAACGTTTCGCGACGTTTGCACAAAACTGGAGGAGCACGGATGATGACCTAGAATGTAGGTGAGCTTCCCGACCGATGGACAGGTACGATTCTCATTTCACTTAGAGTGAAGGGGCATACCAAGCTTCGACATTCTCAATTTTCACATTTTTACATGTTCCGAATTCTGCCTGTTTTGAGCGCTTCACTTTATCCAGCCAAATTTTTTAACCAAACCTCAACAATATACATACATTGAATAAATTTTTATTAGGTTGTATCGCGAAGCTTACATCTTCGATTATCCCGATAGAAACAGGGTTCGTTTTCTCGCCGTTCGATTTTCTTTTCTCTCTGTTGCGTTTAGTTGCATACCGTGGTGCTTGTTGCATCTGTTGCGTTCGATTAATTTCAAGGGATAGGATTTGTTTCTCGTTAGGATAAAGTTAAAGCACTCCCGACGTCCAAATATTTATTATTTTGATCGCACGCCGTAACCCTATCTTACGAAATCGAATAGATTATTTTAGGCATTCTGATCGACGTATTCCGAGTGTAAGCAACGCGATCGCGATCTATTCTCATTTTCAAGTAAAGCGCCGCGTATCGAATTGTCGATAAACATCAAATAATTGGGATCGCACAATGCTAAATGGCTCGACACTCGAGCTCCACCTATATAATCGTTATCGCTGTATTTTCGATCAACGTTACCGCCTGGATTAAAGTATATTTGCACTTTGGAATGTTTTCGATCGATACACGTTGATATTATAATACTAGCAATAAAACTGATTAAAATAGGTCGTCCACACTTCACCTTGAATAATACAGTATCGATCTATTCACGGTTAAAAGGAAATTTTGGATACCCACAGATATTTATGTAAGAGTTTCCATTTCAAAGCTATGCTGTACGAAATGTAAAGTAGATACGGCGACTATTACACATCTTCGAAATCAACACAGAGGTCAGTCAACTTGAACAGCGACAGATGCCAAAAAGTGTTATTTGTGAATATTTTCTTACAGCGTGTATTTTCGTCAACACAGCAACTATCAGATTTCGATTAAGTTAGGAACAAAGATTGTTGAGGAAAACTATGGAACTCGATATGTAGGCTAGCCGAGTCGAATATCGACCAATTTGTTATACAATTACGAGAGCTGTAGGTATCGAATGCGTTTCCGATCGATCCAATAAATATTTCCAGTACCGTGTCGAATATTTTTACTTCCGCGTCGCAATTATTCGAGTAGCTTTATATTTATACAATTTCAGTGCTTGACTTTGGCAGGACGTTTTTCAAAGCTCGCGTGGCGAACGTTTCAATCGCGACGCATTGAACAATCGGGACAATGATTATATCGATCGTCCTTACGTCAGGCCATTATTTATTCGTTTCGCGAAACGCGGTTTCGTGCAGGGTATGATGAGAATGTTGCTTTACTCGTGAGAAAAATTCGATTACAATCGAAGTCACGAACTCCAAAACAGATCGAGTCCACTTTTTGACACCATTTTCCAAATCCGTTAATTTGAAACGACACGAACATCTCATTTCTTAAGGGATTTCAAACGATACCGTATATCGAGTAATATTCGGTTTTTATTTCTTGTCGTTCGCTATTGTTCATTACTTTGTAGTATATTATCCGTCTAACATCGTGCGTTGTTTGCGTTTGTTTTTAGAAGTAAAGAAAGAATGGCGCCAAACGTCACCAGTACCCCGACGGGAGTACTATACGAAGGAGAAACACTCGATGAGACTATCATAAACGAAACGCCAAAAATGAAGTACGAAAGACGCATCGTCTGGAGGAACGTCCTGGTCTTCTTGTACCTTCACCTGGGAGCGATTTACGGACTCTACCTCAGCTTCACTTCCGCCAAAGTGTTGACAGTCCTATTTGGTGAGTGGAACGAATATCTTCCGATCGCGACTTCCGTCTCGTAACGGCTCCATTCCTATCGTTATATTCCAAATAGACAAGAAACCAACGATAACAGGACTCGGTTCGAAAAGAATCGAAGGCAAACTTCAGAAATCGAAAGTCAACCGTTTGAATCTCGATGGATGATCGCTAGACTGCGGATCTAAATAGGAACGTGCCTACAAAAATTAGACCTAAATAGGAATTTATTTTATTCTGAAAATATCATAACATGAACTCTACTTTCAATCATTTTTATATTTTTGCATATTGTTTGCACTTTGTAGTTCCTTGCATATTCAAATTTCCTATAAATGCATAAAGATCCGCAGCCTAATGATCACATAATTTCGCTGATTCTGATTGACGTCATTAAATTTTAAATTGCTTATAACGTAGACTGCATTGATTCGGTCTTCCTTTATTCACACGGCACGATGTTCTCTTGTTAAATTTCTTATGCGATCGCAAGGACGATAACGTCAAGGAAATTAGGAATTTCTTCCTAGATCTCGTCGCACGACCTCGCGGTCTCGTGCGAGGATACTTTTTTCCTTTCTTCTGTTATACAGTTTTCGTTAATAATTAACACCCTTATTATTCGATAGACTCCATGATCGATATCGTTTCTCGAGATACCCTAACATTTGCCTCGGACTTGCGAAACATTAGCCGCCCCTTTTTTTTTTTTGTTAATCATCCTTTATAAAATATTCAAATTTGAAGTAACAGTAATCAAGGTATTACAAATGAGAATAGAATGGGAACCACTGCTCTTGAAGACAGTCGCACAACAGTCTCGAATAACGGAGCGTAGAATAGCACACTCGTTGATAAACGCGAATTTTGGTTCTCAGTTCTTCGGTTTCGCTGACCTTGTTTGTTTCTCTTTCTCGATGGAATTGGTTAGGAATGTTTGAAAAGTACTTAGACGCGTATCGAACCGTGTCTCGCGAATTGTTTGTTTCTTTAAGCTCGGATAAAATCGATTTCGTGCTCTTCGACACGTCTCCTAAGAACAAGTTACATTTTTTTCAAAATGTCTTCTGTTCGTAGCGTTCGTCTTATACGTAACTAGCGGTTTGGGGATCACAGCTGGCGCACACAGATTATGGGCACATAAAGCGTACAAGGCGAAATGGCCGCTCGAACTAGTGTTAATGATTTTCAACACCATAGCCTTCCAAGTAAGTAGACTCGTTCGCAGAGATCCTGCTACCCAAACGGAAAACACATAGATTGCCTTCGAGATGTAACGAGCAACCTTTCAGTCGTAATATCGGTTCGCAGACTAAACCACGGAATATTACTCGACGAAATCGCTGGCTGTTCTTTCTCTATTAAATGCTTTCGTAACGATTCCGCGACGTAAACCTTACAGACCGTAATTTCTTCCTGCTCGTTACTTTCAACATGCGGTTATTTGCAGAAGAATCTACTTAGTCCGCGTATGTGACAAATTTCAAAGTAATGAATTCGAAAGGTCGTTTCAGATTATACGACACGTACCGGCACCGATACGACAAAACATTGAAACACGCGTTTTAATGGAACTATTCACACTTAACAGACACCGACCTGAACGTTCCGTCGACGGGAATAGTGTGAATAGTTCCGTTAAAACGCGTGTTTTAATGTTGTGTCGTGTCGGTGCCGGTACGTGTCGTATAGTCTGAATCGACCTTAACTTTTCATCTAAACTTTAATCGATATGTTTTCGACGAGGGTGCAGCTCGATCGACAAATGGTACCGGTCTAAATTCACCCCTTGACTTTGCAACTGTGTTTTACGATAGGATGCAGTGCTCGACTGGGCCAGGGATCACAGACTTCACCATAAATACAGCGAAACGAACGCGGATCCCCATAACGCGAAGAGGGGATTCTTCTTCGCGCACGTGGGTTGGCTGCTGTGCAGAAAACATCCGGACATCAAAGAAAAGGGGAAAGGTATCGATCTCAGCGATCTGAAAAGGAATCCCATACTTGCATTCCAGAAAAAGTACGTTTCTTCCGATTCTTACGCGCATGCTCTATGTCTATGCAATTTCCTATTAATTGAGCAAGCGAAAATTGAACGAAAATATGAATTTATTTTATTCTGCAAATATTATAACACGAACTTTTACTTTTAATCTTTTTAATATCTTTTAAATATGAATTTATTTTATTCTGCAAATATTATAACACGAACTTTACTTTTAATCTTTTTAATATCTTTTAAATATGAATTTATTTTATTCTGCAAATATTATAACACGAACTTTACTTTTAATCTTTTTAATATCTTTTAAATATGAATTTATTTTATTTTGCAAATATTATAACACGAACTTTTACTTTTAATCTTTTTAATATCTTTTAAATATGAATTTATTTTATTCTGCAAATATTATAACACGAACTTTACTTTTAATCTTTTTTATATTCTTGCATATTATTTGCATTTTGTAGGTTCTTGCACATTCAAATTTCCCATGAATGCATAAAGATCCGCAGTCTAGTAATTAATAATTAAGTACTGGAAACGAATCTAAACGGCGTTTCGTAATCCGTTCACAGGTACTACAGAATATTGATGCCAATATTTTGTTTCATCCTACCGACTGCTATACCAGTTGTGTGTTGGAACGAGACGTGGAAAAACGCTTACTTCATTCCGGCGATATTGCGCTACGTTACGACGCTGAACGCCACGTGGTTGGTCAACTCCGCGGCTCATCTGTTTGGGAACAAGCCGTACGACAGGTTGGTATCGTTTCTCACCGTTGGATCTGGTCGCTGATCAAGGCATGGCCACGATAAACTAATCGTTCGCGAATTTTTTCTTAATTCTAGGTTCATCAACCCCGCGGAGAACAAGGCAGTTGCCGTCTCAGCGTTCGGCGAGGGTTGGCACAACTATCACCACGTGTTCCCATGGGACTACAAAACGGCCGAGCTGGGCAACTACAAGTACAACATAACAACAGGCTTCATTGACTTATGCGCGAAACTCGGTTTCGCGTACGATCTGAAGGTGATCCCTAGGGATATGGTGCAGAAACGCGTGGAGAGAACTGGCGACGGTACACACGATCTCTGGGGATGGGGCGACAAGGATCAGACGCAAGAAGAAAGGGACCAGACATTGGTGATAAATTGTGAGAAAACGAAGGATCACTAGAAGTGGTCCGCAACAACGGCCGATTATTCGTTCTCACAGTCCCAGAACGACGGCCAGTTTAATTTTTTTGTTTTTTTTTTGCATAGCTCTTAAAACGGGAACGGGTTGAGCTATCCGAAAAACAATCGGGATATTTGGGAGATATCACACTTAATATTTTTAGTCACGCGATTGTGCAAACGTCAGCTACGTCCAATTTTCTACACGGTCATCGCGCATTTTCTAATTGTCGCTCCGTCGAGACGGTTTGAATCGAAACGAAATCCATTCTTGCAAGTCGAGATCTCCGAATTTAGAAGGGTTTCTTTCTCGGTAATTAAAATGAGAAGTATGATTATCGGATCGACGCGAGCCCGTCTATTTTTCAATTTGAAATACCGTCCCACGCATAATGATCGGTTTCCAAGAGGTTCCAAGGGTTAGTTGGAGAAATTAAATGTAGCTGAACCTGCGATTACGCGACTGACTTGATGGGTCATTTGGCAGGTCCTAAATGTTTTCAATGATATCGGAGAGAGGAGGGGGAGGAGGTCGGAGTTCACCGTGATCCAAGAAATCGTTCCTCGATTTCTCGATTATGTTCTAGATAACGACAGACTCGTCTAAGCTCTGACGCTCGATCGAAACGAACGCTATCTGAACTCCAGCGCCCGAACACCGGCGCCATTTTCCTAAATTTCTCTGTTCCTTTCGCTCTCTGTCATCCAGAACATCGAGCTTCTCCAAACGAAAACAAGCATGACATTGAAACACACTCTCCCTCACGTCCGAACATTAAACGCAACATTTCTTGTAGGGGATAAATGTAAATGTGTATAATAAATGCGAATTATTATTATTATTATTATTATTGCTCGTGACGAGAATCTCGCTGAACGTACCTTCCCTCTCCCTTCTTTCTTCTTCTTTCGCGTTCATAATCCCGTTCATCGATCAGCCGATTCTGTTGTTCTCGCGATCGCGTCGAATCCAACATCAGACAACAAGAGATTCGTCACGCGACGGTTACAAATATATTTATCGAATCGTGAACAGTTTTTCAAGTATTCGAGCTTATCGCGACCCAGTTCTTCAGAGTTGATACCGAGGCTTCATGGTGTAAAATCCTTTAAATTTCGGTTACTGCTCGCTGGCATTGCAGCTTGCTTCTTCGGGCCTCGAATCACGTACTCTCGAGGAAGCTGGCTGAAATGTTGGCGAAACGTCCAAGTACCTCACTCCCTCGGTTACTATCAATCATTAAGATCATCACCGCTGTTCGGGGTCTGTGAGAATTCGTTTATACGTATAATAGAAAGTTATACGATTTCTTTTCTAATTTAAGGATTATCGTTCGAATATGTGTATGTTAGTCATTTATATTTGATAAACCGAAATTGAAATTTACCTTCGCATTGAAGTAAAGTTCACATCAAATACGATGTACGATTATCGTTGTACTGTGGTAGTTTGAAACACCGAAGTACGCGAACACAACTTTTAGATTAGTAGAGCTAAGTTTCAGTCGCAAGAAGCTTACGAAAAGCTTATCAGGTACCTGAACCCAGACAATTGAAGCGATGTATCACGCTTTCTAGTGTTACACACGAAACGAACACGTCTTTAACTTATAATCCCGGGCTGTTGGACGTTCGAAACGGGATAGCGCGATTGCAATTTGGTTGGGAGTCAACGCGACGAATACTACTATTACTTTAAGATGTATACCAAATCAGATTTACACGTGTATTTGTACGAATTCTTTACGAGATAAAACCGAACATAAAAAGAAAAAACACAGCTTTATACGAGTACTCTACACTTGAATGGAAAACTTTCAGGAAATATACGTTTTTGAAAGATTTGCACACGTCAGTTACAATCGCTCCCCAACTTCGTGCAACCACGAATATTCGCCTCCAAAATTCAATTCGAACCGATTTATCAGCTCTAAATTAGCACCATAGCGAAACAAGAGTGTTATCAAATTGTCCAGTAGATTTGTATACAGCTGAACACGCCTATCGCTTTAGCCTGAAGAAGTTCGATTCCAGAGAATCGATCGGTCCTGATTAACGAATAACAAAGTGGCGTTGAAAACCACGAGAACCAATGTAATCATAACGTCCTCGCTTCCTGTGTCCGTGACGTTTCCGTTGGATGTACACGCATGAGAACAAATCACATGATATGCGTAAAAACACTTTTCTAAGAGAGATCAATGTGTCTGTTCGCAACGTAAGCCGTGCGAGTTTTTGAAAACCTCCCACGTATAGCTCTAAGGATTAATCTTAATGATGACTAAAAAGATGTGTTGTTACCAGGATAAAGGAACAAATATATTCTGTTTTGTTACAAGATCAGATCGCAGTGATCAATTACGCACTTCCAACTATGTACTTTCGTTATTTCTTAATTTATTAGTACGTATCGATAATTGATTATTCAATTTTCAGGTTTCCCTTGGAAGGCTGAGTTACATTTTACTTTTTAATCTTAGCCTTGTACTTCTGATGTTCTATTCCATGAAACCTAACAGTCAGTTTTGTATTACGATGAACGATCACAGTTTATCAAAGTTAAAAATCATATTTAAGCATGTACAGACGCGTTCGAAGGAATCATTTCGTCGTACGTTTGATTCATTCAAAGAAAAGGAAGTATATTATAGGTCTGCAATTCGAATTCATCTAATTATTGGATCTAATTGCTCTGAATATGCAAAAATCAGTCGAGTTATTTGTATTTTATGCTATGCCCGCGTTTTATGGGGGGTGCGAATGATTCGCCATCTAGCGGTCGATTGTCCGAACTATTTTACGGAGTTTGGTCAGCGCCTCTATCGGGAAAACGCTCAAGTTTGTCTTCGAATAGTTCGCTTTTATTTACTGCTAGATGGCGCCATTTATACTGTTTCTTATCGACATGGCCGGTACATTATCATCCTGTTGGTAACGGCTCGTAAATGGCGCCATCTAACGTTACAAATTGGAACTATTCGAGGACAAACTTGGGCATTTTCTCGATAGAGGCGCTGACTAAACTCCGAAAAATAGTTCGGGCAACTAACCACTAGATGGCACCAATGATTCGAACGTGTGGTAGCTCTTGTTTTTGAATACATTACGATAGTTTATTTATATTTTAATGATAACTAGAACATTGAATCTATTCGTATGTTGTCAAGACGTATAGAAATTAGAATATTTTCGAGGATCAGGTCGTACATAGCGTGAAATATTTTACTAGAATATTCTACTAAACAGGAGCTTGATGAAGGTACGTTTCCAGACAGCCGCTGATACAACGGTTTCGTAGCGATATGGTAATAAGCGAAACGAACACGATAGTTTTATCGTTGCAACATTATTCGACGCGCTAATCGCGATAGAAACACTATGGAGGCTCCACGTTGACCTCACCGGTGAATTGCAATTTAATCGCAAATATTCTAAGCTACTCATCGATTCTTAAAACTCGTTTTCGTACCGAGACTCCATCAAGAATCTCATTTCCGGAACGATGTTGACATCGAGCATGGGACGCATCCAGAGATGGCGGGGTTGTATTGAAGCGATTGGAGCAATTTAAGTATCGAATTATGTTTATATAAGTAAATGCAAGAATGCTTCTCCGATAACGTTTTTTAAGATGTTGAATATTATTGTAACATATTGGTCTCTGTTAATTTTCAGTTTCCCTTGCTAAGTTTTTAGGCACACTACCGATATCGAACGCGCGACATCGGTACGAAGAGCCTTACAATAAAGAGGCGATAAGTTTCGACGAGTCTCGCATGTAATCTAAATTTCTGGCATCCCTAAAGATAACGCAGGAATTTCGATTTCGCGTTGTAGATGGCGAGCTCCTTGAGCTGCTCGATTCCATCGTCCATGGAGACTTTCTTCTCAGCCACTCGATGAACCATGTCTCTGACGTCTTCGCTGGTTGGCGTCAGCAGCATTTTGATCAAACCGAGTTCGTACCATACTTTGATGAAGAATGTAGTGCAACCCGCGTCGTATTTGCCAAATTCGCCGCTCTTCCAATCCCATGGCACCATGTAATGATACGCTGGCCAATAGGACTTCTTGATGAAGAAGACGGTGAAGTTGGTCAGTGGAATTCTGAAATTATAGGTGAGTGGATTATTTTTATTTATCTGTAATTCTCTGCTTCCGAATTAATGTTTGGTACCATTGGTAAAATTATGAAGAAAATAGTCCTAGTCAACGATTTCGTGTAACTATGATCAACGAGATATTATCGAGTATTTTTGTTAGCAACAGGAGATAATGGCGATGGAAAATTTTAAGAAATCTCGTCCTCGAATTGTTCCACAGATTCGTAATTTATTTTATTTGGAGTGGATACCGTCGTTGTCTATGACGACGGTCCCGTGGCTTTGTGGCATTTTAAAGAAGAGCTTGTACAATAAACTGAAAGTATTGAAAATGGACATTAACTTGCTCCCTTTGACGCCCCAGACCATCAACGCGCTGTTCACCAGCCAGGACGTGTTCGTAGTGATAGCGAATCGTAGTATCCCAACGGTCAGTATGATAGTGGGCAGCGACTCGTCCCAGTACTCCAGTGGCGCATTCAGAGGCAACAGCAATCCGATTATTCCAAACAGTAGCCAGTAGAACCTGCGTATTGCGGAGAAGAGTGGAAGAAAAATGAATCCCATTGTCGACGAAAGAATTTTCGGAATTTTTCTGCTTTTTATCCACCAATTATTAAAAAAAAATCACTTTATTGCTAAATATCGAAGAAAAGTCTTACTTCTTTTGTATCCAAATATATCCATCAATCTCCATGTCGCGCATATCAACCTCGATTTTAGCCTGTTCGTAGTCGACATTCGGCGACACAAAATTGCCAACGTAGTGACTGTACAGGAATCCTTTCTTGTGATTGAAAGGATCCTTATCGGTTCCGTGATACTTGTGATGAAGCCTGTGGTACAGTACCCAATCGTATATCGGTCCCTATAAACATACATGCATCTCCTTAAGCGGCGAATCCACTGAACGTGTTACTCGAACACAACGACGCCGATTTTTCGGCATTTTTTTTTTTTCAGGCATCTCTTTCGAAGCAGGGTAATTAGCGATATACCTACCACTCCTGCGAGGGTGTGAGCCAACATGAGGAACAGTCTAAGAAAAGATGTTGCCTCGAACGTCCTATGCGCCCAATACCTGTGGGCCATGGTCACGCCGAGGCTACCGATGGCTGTTATGAATAGCGCTAAAAATTCGTCGATTAAGAACATCAGTTTGCGTTACTATTTACGGCAGCGACACATGCAGAAAAAGAGTGACGATTCCTCATAGTCGATATTAACCGAGGTTTGACTAGACGTATACGTCGATTAATATCAACTATGACGGAAGAATGAAATGCCAATTTCGTCACAGTCATTACAGTCGATAGACTATTACAACAGCGAGTGGGTAAAGTCAAGTAAAACTAATCGCCACTGCAATGGTTCTTACTGAAGAATACAGTCATCCATTTGGCGGAAGTGATCAAGAGCCAGATGGCGTAGATCCCAAGGACGTGCAGGTGAATGTACCACAACACTGCCGCCCATTTTATTTCCTGTTTCTTCACGGATTTCGTCTTCTCGCTCGACATCCTACCGTCGCCAGTTGAACGAACCTACGTTTCGTCGATCAGCAGTGCGTTATCATTCACTCACTTGCTCGTACTTGATTCGAGTACTTCCGCGAGGATTCTACCGACCTTCCACAGAACACTCGGATGAAAAAATGGCTCTATTCGCGAGGGTAGAAAGCTGTGGAGAGGTTTCCGGAGCAGAGATCCGCGTTGATCGGGACTCGAAATCGCCTACTCGAAGAACAAACTAACGCGAATTAAAACTCGACGCCTTTCGCGCATCCGTGCGTCGAGTTCCACCCGATCCTTCGTGGCACGAAACGCGCTTCCAGAGGAACCGATAAGAACTACTTCATCGAACGGCCAGCCCGATACCTCGTCGATCGACCTCGTGGCCTCTGCAATACAGAATTTCAATATCGTCCAACATTTTACACCGTCATTTCCTTTGTTTTGACATCGACGTAGTCAACGTGTCCACGTTTCACACTGGAATGGATTCATCAGTCACCGTTTTTCATTACAGAATCGGCCGATGACGATCGAATTACGACTGCTGGAACCTGTCGAAAGTACGACTATTGTAAGCGTTGCTTCGAAAGTTTTGGAAAAATCGATTCTTCTCGTCGTTGAGCTGTTGTCTGATCGTGTTTTAATCGAGTAATCTACCAACAGTATTAGGTAAATCGAATCCACGATTTTTAATATAGAACTGTTAGGAGACAGTTGCATGGAGTTTAATAAATCGTTCAAAAGGTGATACAAATTTTCTGCAAATATAGTCACAATTTTTTAGATTATTGTATCTCGTATATTTGGTAACAGGACTAAGCTCAACAATTATCTTTGATAAAAAGAAAACACACAAAATGAAACGTGGAATTTTATAATATAGCTATTTTTTTTTTTTTTTTTTTTGTCAAGTAATAGGAAAGGTTGCATAACTTTCTACAAGAAACGGAAACCACGTCGAGATTCAAATTCAAATTTATTGGGAAACATAACAAAGCAGTGCCTATTAACGATTCTACGGTTTCCGGCGTGGAAATGAATGTATTGCCACGTCATTCGTCAACGATAATTTGTTTCGTTCTTGCTTCGTTTGGGAATCGCTCAACTTTTCCATCTCAAATCGTTCCACAAGGTAAATGCAATTGCAGCTCGGGAGCTTCGAGTCACGAGAACCAAACGCTCGGACCACGCGAGTTCCATGTGAAATTCAAATCGAGACGGAATATATTTCAATGTCGTAACCCCTCGGTCATCGGTAGTCTGACCGTTCGCGTAATGGATTTCTCCGAGACAACGGAAAATTAAAAGTAAATTGACGGTTTTCGATATCCTACAATTTAGATTTAGAATGCGTGGAGCGAAACGCTCTTCCTCTCTTTGCATTCGATTCGCGTTCCAAATTGATCCAAATTTCGAGCAACGAATGAAAGATAAATAACTGTTTATTCCTTAGTTGTTGAAAAAAATAATATTTCAGTTGGTTGGTTTTATTCGAGTAAAATCTTGCCCATCTCTGACTCCGACTTACTCGTAATCGCGATGTATAAATTATTCTCTACGCTATACATATAAACATGATTTAATCGACGGAACCGAGTCGTTCTATGGATTTGCCTCGACCCTATATAATTAAATTAAAAACTCAGTCGTGAAAACCGTGACAGAACAGCGAACGCTTATAGATCGTTCGATCCACTTTTCGTAGAAAACTGAAGACACTAGAGGTCTGGTGCTCTGTCACGAACGAAGAAGAGACGTTACTCTTTCTTCCATCACATCGACTTCAGTTCCTGGAGATCGTCTGTCGGAATATCCTTGTCGCCGTATCCCCAAACATGGCTCCCGTCGCCTGTTCGGTTCGCCCTTCGTCGAACCATCGCTGGGGATACGTACTTGCGATCGTACGCCCAACCAATGCACGCGAACGCGTCGATGAACCCAGTGGTCAAGTTGAACGTGTAGTTCCCCAGTTCACCGGTTTTATAATCCCATGGGAAAACGTGGTGGAAGTTGTGCCAGCCCTCGCCTATAGCTGCGATGGAAACCGCTAGGTTTTCCACCGGAGTAATGTACCTGAAATTCATTCCAGCTTTAACTAATTTCGATCGTTCCGCATTCGACGATCTAGCCACGAATCGTCGGAATTACGGAGACTTACTGGTCGTACGGCCGTTGGCCCCACATGTGCGCGACGCTGTTCACGAAGAATGCCACGTTGAGAGTCACGCTGTACCGGAAGTTGAAGTTCACCCAGAAAGAAGTCCACAAGGATTCCGACCAAAAGTAGCACGGCACGCTGACCGGGAGCGCGATCGTCAGAAGAGCGAACAAAGGAATGTAGAGTCTGCGATCGAAGAAGAGAAGAGTCAACTCGTTTATTGATTCTCCGAACCATTGAAATGCTTACTTCTTTTGCCACATAACGATCGGATCGTCCTCGAGGTCGCTCATGTCGACGGCGTTTCGTTTCAGAACAACGTCGGGGTGAGGCGTCGTGAAAAGCCAGCCCACGTGGGCAAAGAAGAATCCTCTCTTCGCGTTATGGGGATCGGCGTCGGTTTCGCTGTATTTGTGATGCACCCTGTGGTCCAGTGCCCACGCGTACACGTGTCTCTGCGCAAGAAACGCGTTTGTCTATCGTCGGAAAGTTCCACTATTTTTGTCAGACTGGGAGGAAGACGTGGGAGAAATCGCGTATTATTCGTATTTCGAAACAGTCCTACGTACGTATTTATTTAAATTTCGTTTCTATTTTTTTTTTTTTTTTTTTTTTTTGTATCAGAGACACCTTAGGAATTCGTAAATGATTTAGATGATCGAAAATAAATGATACGGGGGTGGAGAAAGTTGTAAAGGAGACTACGAACTTGTCCGGTTATGGTGAACAGGAAAATCAGAAGCAATCGCAGCTGCCATTTCGCTTTGTACGCCCTGTGGGACCATAGCCTGTGCGCTCCCGCGGTTATGCCGAATGCGGAGGTGTATATGGTTACGAATGCTGGAACAAAATTCATCGGGTTCAAGTAGCTTCGATTATCACTCTCTCGTTAACTGTAAGTATCCTCAACTTTCATATCTATTTAATTGGGCGTCGTTCTTCTTATTAAATTAAATATATATTTTTCGTGAATTCCGTTTCCAAGAACGGTGGCGTAATAATAATCTTGCTGAAAATGGCAGCCAGCTATTTCTGTCGCCGGTAGGAATTTTTGCAATACTGATGTTCTTACGTCCAAGTACCGATGTAAGCTCAGCACGCGACGCATTTCCGTCGCGCACGTGAAACTCAGTTTTAAAAACACATTATATAATTTCAATGTCATCCAAGTATCGCTTTGTCTTGCAAACGAACAAGACACTGTTGTTGCGTTAACTAATAGAAAAATCGAGGACATCGAACATTTTCATTATCTAAAGCAGGCTGACCTACATTTTTTTTTTTTTTTCTTTTTTTTACTGCCGTGCTTCCGCTGTATTTTTCCTACACACGAAGATACAGACGACCAAACTTACATTTCAAGTATTTTGCAAAAATAACACGTAAGATAAACATGTAAAAAAGATATATTGGGCGAAAGAGTCAAGGTTTAGTTAACGTGCTGTTTCTAATTTAACCTCATATTAATAAATAAGATAAAATAAATAAATGCTATCGGTTTGTTTTCATAAACTTTGAATCTCGGAAAGTTGTGCAACCTGTTTTCCCATATCTTTCTGTCGAGCTCATAACAAGTTTCAAGGTTTAATCTAGAAACAATCAAATTTTTCAAATGCGAAGCTGATGGGAAAAAATGTGTGAATTTCAAGGTGTACCTACCCCACAATGCGGTGAGGGCTCTCGCTTCGACGAAGATGAGGTAGAATCCGTAAATGCTCCCAGCGTGGATGAAAATTTGCGCGATTAGGTCTGGCCACCTGATCCGAGGCACGTACGGCGCTTTGCTGCAACGATAGCTTTTGTCAGCCGTCAAAAAGTCGTCGGTCTCCGACAGCCTGCTGTTCTTCGAGTCTACTTTCTTGTTGTTAGTATCCCATATTTGATTCACCGTGGGAGACACTCGCTCTTTACCTGGCGACATCTTTCTTTCCCATGTAGCTTCCTTCGGAAATCCTTGCTACTCGATGACCTTACCAATTCTGAAGTAGCACAGCTGTTCATTGATACAAAAATGGAGACTATAAGAAAATGGACGTACATTCGACGTTATCGCATGCTATAATACTTCGAAGTTTTGACGTATTTTCAATTTGACTGTATGGTACCACGTAACTACGTGATACTAATAGCCGAGCCGAACTGAACGAGCACAGGTCGGCTAAATGTTAGAAGATACTCTCTATCGATCGTAGATATTGTCACCTGAACGATATCGCGGTGAACGTTGATAAAGGTATTTATTTTCAGATATTCTTCGGTAAAAATGAATGGATAAGCTATCCTGGAACTGGAATAATATCAGCTTCGATGAGCAATCCACAAACGAATCTATTTCATTGAATACGAGAGCAGCATAAAGTTGAAAAAGTTTCAGTGAATAATAAAATGTTAATATGCGCAGTATGAACGTGACAGTATTTCAATTCTACGTATCGACTGGATAAGAACGAATGCAAACCGATGATCGGAATTCAATTCAGCGTATTTTTTAGAACCGTCAGCCGAATTACCACACCGAGTGGCCAAGAGTTAATTTGGAGTAATTGCGTTACGCGTCAACGGGGGTCACGTAAACGTTTTTCATCATCGTCTCGACGCGTATCTGACCTAGACGTCATTGAATAAAGAAATGGCTAATTAAAACGTAAATGACTGTGATCAACAACGAGCTGACTCGACTTTAAGGACGCACAAAAGGTAGGTGCTTGTGCAATTAGCGTGGGAGTAGTTGTAATTAGAAAAAAAGACTTGCGGCAATTAAAAACAGAGCCGTAAGAAACGTATGAATTAAAGCGTTATAATTCTTTAGCTATCTGTTTATAATCACTTTTCCACTGTTTGTTTTAGGTAGATTTAATTGACGCTCATTTACTACTCGAAGAGAACAGGATATCACAGTATTCAGCTACGGATTAAAACCTGGACGACGAAAAGAGACACTGACTCAACAATATGCGTCTCCGATCGCGAAACGCAATTTCTTCGCCCAGCGGAGTCCTCCGTTTCTAACGATACAGACTTTAATCAGAATTTATTGTCGGGAATTTATAGTTCACGGCCGATCAATGTTCCTCCTGATAGGCCCTGTTTATGAGAACATCTAACCGCTTCATGATCGAAGGAGACGCAAAACAATTGGCGTCATCGAATTCGGAAAATCAGTCGCGAGCTTCGATCGTTCGCGCACGATCTTGTATTTTCTCGAAGAAAATTTTATGAATTTAGCATGAATGGTCGTGCACTAGTCCGGGAGAAATTAGTTTGAGTACGAATTCATCCGACCGCGCTAACTCATCGGCGTATTTTGACGAATCCCTATAAATAATTGTACTCGTCACTAGACCAAGGCCTAACCTCGTGCGATTCCTCGAAGTATTTAACTGTTTAACAACGCTGCGTAGATAATTTCACGTGTCGCGGAAAGTAGTGTCATCCACTGACAACGTACGAGGTCATCCGTCAACGGGCCATTTTCAGAAGTTTCTGGACAAATTACAATATTCCCCAACGCAGGCGAAACGTTAATAGTAAGAAGTAAACACTTACGTTCTACCAAACTGTTCCCAATCACAATAATACAGTGAATTGAAACTGTCGAAAATTGTGTTCACGCCGAAATCGGTCTCAATTACACCACCTGAAGCACACGCGCGGGAAGATTAATGATACGACCGACTAGTGAGCTCTATTGGATCCAAGAGTTTGCGATGACGCAACTAAGTAGTAAACTATTAAACTGAGTTACCGGTCCTGATTGCTATCGACGCGTTTCGGAGCATAACACTCATTCGGTGTAATCGCGATATATACCATACCTACGTATTTATACTGCACGCTAATCTCGATATCGTTTTATTATCTGATAGACCACTTCTACTACTGGTAATACAGTAATTTCTCGATGTTAAAACACCTGTGAGGTATCCTTGCGATGTTATCTCGAAGGAGAGCAACAAATTTTTTGATGGATATGGAACTACTTTACCAGAATCCAAAGCTGAGCAGAAGTGAACGATGGAATAAAAACGACGTGTCCTTCGCACACTCTAACAATTCGATTCGCAGAAGTTGCGAAATGAATCCGTGTCGATGGAGAACTTACTCTGTACTCCCGATTTTTCCGTTGGATAAGACGTTCGCGGAATTAACGAGCAATTTTATACGCGTTTGTTAATGATCTTACGTCAACGTTCGCTGTACTGTTATTTGAAATCCAATTAAAATCGATGATAAACGAGTCGTTCCCTTTGACCACGTTCTTATAATAGATCAAACATATCGCATGACACCTGCGGAATCTCCACCTTATCGCGTGGATTTCCAGAAAAAATCGCACAGGTGTTCGCCCGCGCCCAGATCGCGACAACGATTTCGTTATCTGCGAATTCTCTTAAGGAGATTTCTTTTTTACCACGTTTCGCACCTCGCACCGTATGTCGCGTAGAATAAACACTGTTCCTTGCGCTGACTAGAGGGTCTAGAGTTACAAAACTCTCGTGTATATACTCTTGCGCGAACCAACGGCGCGATGAACGGCGCAGAGATAGCAGGGAGTTAACGAACCTCGGGGTACTCCGATCTGGTCTCACATGGGACTGTCATAAAATTATACTAAAGTTATCCTCCACGTTTCAAAACGTGATATATGAATGCCATTTGACGGATTCTCGGGCCGCCAAACTTGGCGAAACTGGCTATCTGTGCGCGAGTTTTACAGAACCCTGTACACACACTAATACGCAATCAAATCACATGAATATGACCTTCTAGAGAAAAAAAGCACACGTGTATGTATATGTATATGCAGATACATGTGCGTGCGTGCGTGTGTGTGTGTGTGTGTGTTTATAAATTATGTGTATAATAATGTAAAAAAAATGCTCAAAGAAATAGCATTTTTTTGTTTTTGTTCGTTTATAGATTGCCTTGATCTATCGACTTTGCAAATATCGTCGCTTTGCCGCAAGCATAAGATTTAGAAAAAAAAAATGGAAAAAACATGTACGCATAAGATTTTTTCTCTTAAATAGTAGGTCATTTATACTTATATATAATTATGTATACTTATATTTATATTTATATTTATATTTATCTCTGTAAAGCTCGGTAGCCAATTTACACAACTTTGGTCACCTGAGAATTCGATATAGTAAGCGTTACATTAGCAAATGGCTTTCATATGTTACTTTTCAAAGGGTGCTTTATTGGATGAGCAAAAAATCATCACATCTTGTCAGATGTATGGTAAAAAGCAAAACAGAACGCACATACACACATACGTACAAAAATTAAATATAAATAATTGCGTATTTACGAAAAACGAAGTACGTAGCGATACGTGCAATGCTCCATGAAAAATTCTAGACAGAAAGAACTTGGAGGGAAAATATTTCAAATGCTGTCTCAAATGGTAAATGCATAATTCTTTATTCTTAAAGGACCATGCAATAATTAATAATATACACAATTAATTTTAATGAATGCAATGGGAAGCAGTCTTTCGTGCTCCTTGATGATGCATTCCTGGCAACAGGCAACCTGATACTCGTGTGAGAAGTAATTCGTAGTAGTACAGAATTTATATTCACACTGTAACCACAGTCGAGGTACAGAATGAATCCAATACACCTTTTTGTCCGAGGTTTCAGACATTCCATCCTGCAACATTGTTCTATGCCTTGTCTGCAGTCAGAAATCAGAGTATCAGCAAAACTTTACAGAAACCTAATCTATCAACGCGAGGCATGGTAGCAGCAGTTAGTGGGCAGCACCGAACGACTAGTCATACGCGTCGAAGTGATCCATCCGTCAGGATCTTTTGTTTTTCGAAATTCAAAATTGAGAAAAGCTTTTGGAATACATTGCCTAAACTTACGAACAAATAAACAAAATACGTTTCAAATTACACTAAAAATACACTAAAATCATCGAGACATCGCGTCCTCTCGCGTCCCGTTGTCTAATCAACCGTTTCCTTTGCAGGAATGATTCTTTCACGAAACGGGCCAAATCGTTGGGGTCGAATATCAAAAAATTAATGACCAAAGAGTAAGGTCCATTCGCGTGAAAAAAAAACACGCGTCGTTCGTTAGTTGGCAGCGTCTCCGTGAATGGCGGTAGTGGCGGGACGGATTGATCGAACCGGCCAACGAACGCGGGTACGCACAGTGTCTTTACAATTTGCTAAATATCCCTCGCTGGCGTCGATTCTCGATTTCGCGATAGTTGCGCGCATGCACCGATTGGAAGCTCGTCGAGGACCACGCGGACAAAACTGACAGCACACGAGGGAGTAAAAGAGAGAGGGAACAGGAGAATGTAACCCGTGCAGAGAACCGCAGTCCAGGCAGGGGGTGGTTCGATGGCTGCCGCAACCCCCGGCATCGGTGCGGCTAGCTTCGCTTTTCGTTTCTCGCTCTCGCCCCCGTTGTTCTCGACGCTCGTGGCTCGAATTTCGGTCGTGCGAGCTTTTACAAGAGCTTCTGTCGGTTGACGAGTGAAAGGTGGTACGCTTGTGCGTTAGAGATACCCACGAGTAATGTCGTTTTCCCGGTGGACTTTGAATCACGCTCGAGATCCCTCGGGACGTCTTTTCGCGACTTTTAACATTACCTGCCGGCCTGTGTAGGCATTGCAGGGAGGAAAAAAGAAAAGAACAGTCCTGGATTAAGGGGAATATGGTACTACGAGTAAGTAGAATATGGACCAGGGGCGGACCTACTCGGAGGATAACGAGGCTCCAATGTCGAGTCCTCGAGAAAGCATCTCCAAACAACTCTTTTCTTGATTTTTTTTTTTCACTTGATTACCACTCGATATTCGGAAGGACAGAAAAATCATTCGATTATTTTATGTATGCGATGTTGTCCTATCTAGAACTATGTTTACTGTCGATACCGATAGTCGCAAGATGGTCGCTATTTTCCATATTATTTACATATTTCCCCGTTCGATATTACTTTCATAGTAAAAAGATTTCTTTGTCGTAAAATATTTCAGAAAAGGAAAGCTTCAATGAGTCTAGATCCGTCGCTGGTAAAGTTTCAAGAGTCGTGATCGTACGTGCGTTGCCATAAAGTGATTTTACCGAACATACGATTGTTGGTATCACGTACTTAGAAGGAAACGACATTATTATGGGTACCGCTAATAGTATCGTCGAACGCGAGAGAAATACACGCATTAACAGGTACTGGGGATGTAATCTTCGTTTCGAATAGAAAATGTTCTCGCCTGTCAGTAGACTAAACGCTCTCACTCGCTCTCTCTCTCTTTCTCTCTTTCTCTCTCTCTCTCTCTCTCTCTCTCTCTCTCTCTCTCTCTCTCTCT